CCCCGTCTCTGTCTGCTTGTGAACTCCCTCTGTCAAATAAATAAACAAGATCTTTAAAAAAAGGAAAAGCAAAAGTAACTACCAACATGAGGCCTGTAATTACACTAAGGCTTATGGAAGGGAAGAAGATACCGGAATATGAATATGGCACATACACGATTCACAGGGTTCATCCGGAGCGTAAGTGTCAACTGTATGATGCATGAGGTGTGGGCGGGGGCTTGGGGGGGCAGTCCAGGGAGCTGCGTGTTGAGGCTGAAGGGAGTCATCTACTGTCTTTATTCTAGTCAAGGAAGCTTCCCCTAGGAAGCCAGATCAATCTGCGAAATGAAGTCAGGCAGTACTTGCTGAACATTTATAATGTGCCTATGACTGCAATAAATTATGAGTAACTGAAAAAAAACCAAGGAGAAGATATAATCCCTGACCTCAAAAACCCTACAATCTCGTTGAAAAGGTTATGAATATCACTTACAAGCATTCCGGCATTCACAGTTCTGCAGACTAAGAGCAGCCCGTGCCCGCAGAAGGCAAAGACCTAACGGGCAGGAGGCCTTGGTGAGAAATTCAGGGCAGCAAGGGTAGGCGCGGGTGCGGGAGGATCGGAACAGGAGGTGGGGGAGGGATACGCAGAACGGAAGGACTGGGAGTTGGGCGCACGCCCAGGATGCCACTCTGGAGGGACTCCTTGCACCGAAGGCCTCCTGCACGCCGGCGGCTGTGTGAGACGGAGGTACAGGAAAGACGAGAACATCTCTGTTCCCGAAGACCTTGAAGTGTCCAAGAGAAAACGAGGAAAGAGAACAAAAAATCAGGTGTCACAAGGCCCTGTGACAAATGCCGTAATGAAGAACGGTCACTCCAGCAGAGGGGCCCGGGGCACTGGGATGGCGGGCGGCACCGGACAGGACAGGCAGCAGGCAGGGTCTTCTGTGGGAATGACCTTCCAGAGCTCGGAGCCCCGCCACCTCCGTGTGTCCACCCTCGGTGGAGGAGGCAGCGACGTCGCACGGCGGATGAAAGCAGAAGCTTTCGGGAGGGGACACCGGGGCTCGGGCCCGCAGGGTCAGGTGCTGTGCGAACGGGAAGGCAACCGGGACACAAGGAAGAGCCCAGTCGGCGGGGCCCTGGCCCCTTCCCCGGCCTCCGGTCGCACACGCCACCCAGGGCTGCCGGACAAGACAGCGGCCCCGCTCACCTCGAGTCTGGACGCGGACGTGCAGTTTCAAATCAGGGCTGCGGCCCGAGCACGCGCGCGACCTGCACGCTCGGCCCGGCCCACGAGCCCCGGCGACCGGCGAGAGGAGGTGGGACGCCCGGCAAGCGCTCTCACTCTTGGGCCCCCGGGCCGGGGGACGCGGCTGGAAGCTCGCTCCGTCTCTGGCTCCGTCTCCGCGGGACGGAGACGCGGCGCGGGAAGGACACTCGCGCAAAGAGGACCGTCGTGCCGCTCCGCGACCAGACCCGCGGACCGCCCCCTCCGGGCCCGTGGGCCACGCCTCCCGCGAGAGCCGGAAGTCCCGCCCCCGCCGGAGGAAGGAGCGGCGGCGACACAGCCAATCCGGAGGAAGGCAATCCCGGCCGGGCCACTGGAGGGCGCGGCGCGGCACCTCCCCGCGGAAGCGGGGCGGGGGCGGGGCTCTCTACCGGAAGCGACCGTCCCGCGGCGGTTTCGGTTGGCGGCGCGCGGGTGGGAGATGCGCCGGCCGCCTGAGGCGCGGGCGCCGAGCGAGGGGCGGGGCTCGGAGGGCAGCTCGGGGCTGGGGCCGAGCGGCTGAGGCGCCGGGCGGTCATGGGCTCGGCCAAGCCCTGGGGGGAATGGTTCCTGAGCCTGCGGGTGCCGCCCGCCGGGGTCTTCGGGGTGGCCTTCCTCGCGCGGGTGGCCCTGGTTTTCTACGGGGTCTTCCAGGACCGGACGCTGCTCGTGCGCTACACGGACGTGGACTACCAGGTGTTCACGGACGCCGCGCGCTTCGTCGCGCAGGGGCGCTCCCCGTACCTGCGGGCCACCTACCGCTACACGCCGCTGCTGGGCTGGCTGCTCACGCCCAACGTGTACCTGTGTGAGCTCTTCGGGAAGTTTCTGTTCATCAGCGGCGACCTCCTGGCCGCCTTCCTCCTCTACCGCCTGCTGCGCCTCCGGGGGCTGGGCCGGCGCCGCGCCTGCGGCTACTGCGTCTTCTGGCTTCTCAACCCCCTGCCCATGGCTGTGTCCAGCCGCGGCAACGCCGACTCGCTGGTGGCGGCGCTGGTGCTGGCGGCGCTGTACCTGCTGGCGAGGAGGCAGGTGGCGTGCGCCGCAGTGGCCTACGGCGTCGCCGTGCACATGAAGATGTACCCGGTGACCTACGTCCTTCCCATCGCCCTGCACCTGCTCCCGGAGCGCGGCGGCGGCGGCCACCCGGGCCCCCGCCCGCGCCGCTGCTCCTTCCGGACGCGCCTGTCCGAGCTCCTCGGGAGGCTGTGCAGCCGCGCGGTGCTGCTCTTCGTGGCGGTGGCCGGGCTCACGTTTTCCTCCCTGGGCGCCGGCTTTTACAGGAAATACGGCTGGGAGTTTGTGGAGCACACCTACCTGTACCACCTGACGCGGCGGGACACGCGGCACAACTTCTCGCCCTACTTCTACATGCTGTACCTGACCGCCGAGAGCCCGTGGAGCCCCTCCCTGGGCCTCGCCGCCTTCCTGCCGCAGTTCGTGTTGCTCTCGGCCGTGTCCTTCGCCTACTACAGGGACCTCGTCTTCTGTTGTTTCCTGCACACGGCCATTTTCGTGACTTTTAACAAAGTCTGCACCTCCCAGTATTTTCTCTGGTACCTCTGCCTGCTGCCCCTCGTGATGCCGCTCGTGAGGATCCCTCGGAAGCGGGCGGCGGCCCTCCTCATGCTGTGGTTTGTAGGACAGGCCTTGTGGCTGGCGCCTGCCTACGTCCTGGAGTTCCAGGGGAAGAACACGTTTCTGTTTATCTGGCTAGCCGGTTTGTTCTTCCTCCTTATCAACTGTTCCATCCTGATTCAAATAATTTCCCATTACAAGGAGGAACCCCCGGTGGAGAGAATCAAATACGACTGATAGGACTCCAGTTCCTCTGCCACTTCTACTACATTGTCATTGTCCCGAACGGACCAGAAGAGAGCTTTGGGACACGTTTTTGAGCGTCCTATGCGCTCTGGTGAAGATGCAGTTGGGAGCATAAAACCCTGTGCCAGCGGGAATTGAAACGAATGGTTGCCTTGTATATAAAGGGGACTCAGCGGTTGAGGTCCGCCTCTGTCCTAATCTCAGGAGTCTCGGTTCTCTGGGACATGATGGGAAGTAAAGGTTACTTGTTGAAAATGGGAAATCTGGTTAAACTATCAGACGCTAAAAGGTTTTTGTAGAAGAACAGAGGAATGGACTTAGAGACCTAAATAAAGTCCAAGTCGGCATTCGTACCCGTTATACTGTGCTGCAGTCCGAAGCTGTCTTTTTAACCCCCACTTCTTCTTTTTTAAAGCTTTCCCAACAGCTGTGAGAACTCGTGGAACGTTCCTAAAGTACAGCTTTTGGATGTCAAATGTTAACCAATACCCATCGGGCTTAGGCTGGGAGAGTTTGTTCTGTATTAAAAGTGGGGGCTTAGAAAAAGAGTCCAAAGAATTTAAATTGTAATCACGTTTCATGTAGTTCTTTTATTACTTCGTTTTTCAGCACTTAGTCTCAGTGGTATTAGACTACCATTTGGTTTTATACACGATTAAATTAAAGTTCACCCGTCTTTAAACTTGAGTCATCACAGATTTCAAAATAGCATCTTGCTTTTGATGTTTGGAGTTCACGAACTACTAGGGACATTTTAATGTTCTCTTATACCTCTTTGTTTTTAACTTTCTGATTGCCTTAAGATATTTTTCATACAGAATTTAAGGTAATCGAGCGTCATCTGTGTTGTGAAAATGAAAATTAGATTTTAAGCCATACAAAATTACATTGTTAGTAAGACATTTCCCAGGTTAAAAATACCGACTTGAAAAAAATTCATGGTGGAAATGGAGACCTGTGTGGGAGGCGCTGGAAAGCTTAAGAAGCAGCCTAAGTAGTCATAAATCTAGACCAGGGAACTGAGGGAGAGAGTGTGGAAATGAGGCTTCAGTGAGCAGATCCATTTCCCTTATTACTATAATATTTCTAGGGAAGAGATACTTTCTCGGTTTTAAATGAGCTACCTAAAAAAAAATTTTTTTAACATAACCCATGTAGGCTGGGGACTCCCTCACACTCATGCAGTAGTAATACAGGAGATTGATTTTATGATTGTGGTTTTAAAAGATGAGTAATTTATCAACATTGTTCTTTCACACTAAAAAAACAAAAACAACTTCGGAGAAGTAGAATATTTCATACTGGTTCAGGCCAAAAAGGACTTGGAGAATAGGGTGTCTATGAACTGGACATGAGTAAGAGTGCTATCACGGGCCGCAGTTCTTGGATGGGTACTTTTTGGGACCTGCCATTAGAAGGGAAGAGTGGGTGGTTTTGCAAGGGTGTCATTAGGTGAAAATAGGTGAGACCAGTAATTGTTGAGGACAGTGACCTTTCTTGTAGCGTCTGGTCTCATCCCACATTAGTTCTTATCTTGCAGGCTCTTTGTATGTGATTGTTCACTAGCGGCTTTACAGCCATGACTGTTCTTTCCGGTTTTTGTTTTTGTTTTTGTTTTTTTTCCATTCTTTTATAATTAAAAAAGTGCCCAGGCCCAGGAGATGCAGATCACTGCAAAGTGAACAGAGCTGAGCACTCCGTGTCTCCTTGTCTTGTATTTTAATACAAGATGGCCTGTGTAATCACCACTTTGAATACAAGGCCTGCTTGAGGGGAGTCCTCTTGCATTTGTGCAGAAGTTCGTGGGACTCCCAAACTTTTCTTTTCGATAATTCCAGACCTTCATCCACATCTTCTCACCAAATTGCATCATTTCTTGGTGACTCTTGTCCTAGCCCAGTGTAAGAAGTGGATTTGCTAAAGCACACGTTAGCCCAGCTGTGGAGCTCCCGCTGTGGAATTCTGTGCCCATGCTTTCCGAAAGGTAAATGGTCATTGTCGGATTCCCCTTGGAGTCCAGTGTACGATGCCCACTCTGTAGTCATCTGTTTACGGTTCATGACCGAGCGTGGCACATGAGAATACAGCTTCGTTCAAATTCCGGTGCGCCACAGTGGGCAAGCCGCTTTTATCTAGACGGGCTAGCTGTCTGTGAAATGGGGATGATACAAGAATCCTCAGAGAATTGTTTGCAAGGATTAAATGAGTTAATATACTGCTGCTGGCATAGAACCATTTCCCATCGCCTCCCCAGCTTTACTGTCTGTTCACAAGCATTTAAAGAAGGAGCTACTCCTGGAGTCTAGGTGTAAGCCTTTCCCCCTGAATATTTTTTTTTTTTTTTTAAGATTTTATTTATTTAGATAGAGTCAGAGTGGGGTCGAGAGAGAGTGAGAGAGCATGAGATGGGGAGGGGCAGAGGAAGAGGGAGGCAGGCTCTCCACTGAGCAGGGAGCCCGATGCAGGACTCGATCCAAGGACCCTGGGATTATGACCTGAGCTGAAGGCAGACGCTCAACCGAGAGAGCCACCCAGGGCCCCTCCCCCAAATCTAATGAATAGAGGAAAAGAACCTGGGTTTATACTAAATAATCATTTAAACTACCCACTACTCTAACTTTGTTCCTTCTCATCTTGATCTGGTTCTTTGAAAAGAGAGTAGTTACCTGTGAAAATGCCCCTACAGAATGTTCAGATGTCTGGTTCCTGCTGGTTTTAAGCCAATTAAGCTGGGGTTTGGCTCGTGGCCCTGAGGCAGCATGTCATTTTCCATCATGTCAAAGGCTCCTTCAAGGATAGAGTGTCGGTGGGAGCACATGTCTTCTGCCGGCGTCAGAAGCTTCCAAACAGCATAAGCACTTTTTTAGCACTAATCGAGGAGAACCATCCATTTAGTAAAAACAGGCATTTGTATTCTTTATCCTGAACAAAACCCCAGACTAGCAGAATCTTTCTAGTGGCTCAGACCCGCTGCTGCGTGCTTTGTCTGCTATATGAAATGAAATGACACAGTGACTATAATAATAATGTGGAGCCTGAATATTTGAAGCTCAGCTCATTTGTCAAAGGGAAGCTTTAACCTTTGTTCTCTATTTTTAGGCAATTACATAGAGATCCAGGCCTGCGCCAAGTCTTATAATAGACGAGTTTGAAGAGTTAACAGTAAAGACAGACACACATCCTGTTAAATGCTCTGCGAGAGCCCACTGAGGCCACAGCAGCCCTGTGATCTGCAATGCAGGCAGGTGGAGGGTGTCCCTGCTCCTGTTTTATGGGTGAGAACGCTGACACTCAGAAACAACGACTTTCCAAGACCGAACAGCTTGTTCATGGCAAGACTGGATCTCATCTAATCCTACTGTTTTCTGTTTTCCTGTTTTATTTTGCAAGTCCTTTTTAAGTGCACATGATGACAGGTGATGACAGTGGAAAACCTCATTTCTTTGCCCAATGTCATTCATTTGGCAAACTATGTAGCACGAGGCCCCAAGTATCTTCATGTGCTGAGCTCCGTTCTGGGTGTTGTCAGGGAGGCGTGCTCTCCGTGGGGCTGGCGCTTTCAGGGGAGGCCAAGAAGCAGTAAAGACGTGATGATTGCGCTCCAGGAAGGGAGGACAGGCTAAGGAACGCGAGAGCCACAGCGGGGAGGAGGGGGTAGAGCCGCTTGCCACAGAGGGCTCAGGGAAGGCCCCGTGAGGCAGCTTCCCAGCCCAGGCCTGAAGGAAGTGCGGCCACGACCTTCCCACTATCCGGGGAGAGTGAACAGCGGGGCAGAGGCCTGGGGTAGGAGCCAGCGTGGCACGTTCGAGGTACAGCAAGGTGAGTGCCAGTGATTGGAGCAAACAGGGAACAGCCAGAGTCCCGCTGCGGTTTCCAGCAGAATGGTGTGGGTGCTGGCGGAAATCACAGTGAGCCGGAGTGTTTTTCCTGGCCTGTAATACAGTAACTGAGTTCAATATGTTTTTTCTGACTTGGAACGTATACTAAATACACCTTACATTTGAGCAGTGTTATGACGTGTTGGCACACATTATTTTGAGACTCCCAGGGTTTTTCAAAAAGCCCATCTTCATGGGGCGCCTGCGTGGCTCAGGGGGTTAAAGCCTCTGCCTTCAGCTCAGGTCCTGATCCCAGGGTCCTGGGATCGAGCCCCGCATCCGGCTCTCTGCTCAGCGGGGAGCCTGCTTCCCACCCACCTCTGCCTCTGCCTGCCTCTCTGCCTACTTGTGATCTCCCTCTCTGTCAAATAAATAGATAAAATCTTCAAAAAAAAAAAAAAAAGCCCATCTTCATAGATGAGAACCCTGGATTCTCAGGTTAGAATGTATGCGCTTTGCCCGAGGTCCACGTTTTCATGAGGCAGTAGCAGAACCCAGATCTTCTGGAGCCAAATTCACTCCTTTGGGCTGCCCTTGGCATCTCGATGCGGTGAGATGACCAGCTGGTTCGTAGAAGGCGGGACGTTCAGGAAAGTTTGCCTGAGAGATCATTCATTCATTCATTCATTCGTCCACACGTACGAGACGATTGGGCCCGGCCCTCGGCGAGGCTGGGGGGTCCCTCGGCGAGGCTGGGGGTACAAGGACGACCAGAGTCCTGGCCTCAAGGAACTCACTGCGTGTAGCAGAGGACACAGCGGGAAGGGGACGGTAGTCCCCTGTGACGATGGCTAGAGCAGAGCCCCTCTCTCGTAGTTGGAAGCGCTTCCCTAACGGAGTCCGGCGAGGTTGGTGCAGAGCTGGGTGGGTGCGCTGGTGGTGATCACACAAGGAGGCCGTTGGGCGGCAGGTGGGTCTGACTCCCCAGTGGCCCAGCGGAGCACACCAGCCCTCAGCCTGCCAGTGGCTCAAGGTGAAGAAGTCAGAACTGAAGAACAGCCCGTCCCAGTTCCTGCTTTTCCATGGGCTTTCCCGAATGCTGCCACCGTGCAAGACACAGCCAGCCGAAGGCCGTCCTTGCTTCGGGTCTGCCTCTCCCCGGGCCCTGGCTGGTGGTGGGAGCGGGCCTCACCTCCTTCCAGTCCGACCTGCCCGGCTGGAGTAACTTCTTACTCAAGCCCTGAA